ATCAATATTTTAGTCTTGTTGGCAACCCTGCGGAGAGATTTTTTAAACCTGATGGCAATGTTTTTTAGCATTTATTACTATATCCTATTGGGTTTCAAATCAAAAACTATATACACAACATTCTTATAAAAACTAAAGTAAGATTGAATTTATTAAAATAATACTTTTTTTTTTTTTTTTTCTGGAAGACAACTCCCGCATTAGGAATATATATATCCTGTGTCGCGAGGGACTTTACAAACATACATGAAACGGACACAAAGAACACCCAGACTCAGAACAACAATTTGTGGATCACACAAAGTGTCGTCCCAGTGTGTGAAAACTGACAGATGAATACACATACTTAGACATGTACACACAAACACACACACAGGCTCACAAACTATCACACACACTCACATAGCTCCAACTTAAACTTAGTCAATTAAATAAATATAGATTGTAGTAAACTGCGATCTCTTCCTATTGTTTCATATGAGATTTATATAAGATTCTAATATTATTGCTACTGTCCTAATGTATAATCGTTTTTGTATTGATAGCCTCGATACAGGCTAAGCCTAGTGTGGCTATCATTGTTAAACAATTTTTTTAAATCTTTACTTTAAATAAAAATTATTATTATTATTATATTATTAAATAAAAATTATTATTATTATTATTATTATGTGGGGTTTGAACCCACAACAGTCGGCGTAGTAGGAAGCGGCGTGGCGACCGCTTAAACCACTCCGCCATCCGTGCAATCTTTATATATGAACTATACCTGACTTAATTTGGTGACGGATTAAGAATACGAAGTGTTTGAGTGACCCTATTTATCCCGTGGGTATCGTAGGAGCCGACTAAGGCAGCAAACTACGCAGGACCACAGCACTGCAAGGAGTAGGAAAACGTGAAACAAACCCTATACCGATCCGTCTGGTCGTAGGTCGAAACCTCCTTTCTAAAGAGAGGACTAGTTCCAGCAGTGGACTAGTAAAGGTTGTTGATGATTTCGATGATACCTACCTACAACACTGGACATGTGGAATAAAACTCAACATTCCGCAGAGAGAGAGAGAAACAGAGAGTATAGTAATTTATTTTTTTATATTATGAGGGGGCAGACGAGTAGATGGAAAGTGACCATCGCTTCCTATGAACTTTCTGCAACTCAGGAATCACAAACGCGTTGTCGCCCTTTTAGGATGCTCTTTTCTTGAAGGTTTGAAGGTAGTATCGGTCCGGAAATACCGCAGACGATAACCCGTTCCACAGATTGGTTGTGCGGGGCAAAAAGTGCACAGTAGCGGAGCGCCAACTATCCAGGGGATTGGGATTGTATTGTTTTGACAAATGAGAGCATTCACACAGCATTTATATAGAATTTATACACATTATACATTTAATATTTTCCATAAGAAGGAGAGAGCTCGTTCTTCTGTAATATGGAGAAATATGTATAATATATATACGAGTATAAAGAGAAAAATATAATCAATATAAACAATCATGGCTACTCTATATTGTTTTAATATATTGTTCTTTAGGATCTATCACATTCAGACAGACAGATTTTATAAAAGACAATCACAAAAGACAAATCAAATATCAACCTTAAAGAATACATAGTAACATAGTTACATAGTAACTTACTTCTTTAAAACATACTTCTTTTTTTTAGGGGATTGGTATCAGCTAATTATAGAATGCATAACCTGACTGGTGGCTCATGTTTTATCTGCTATTATCCCCTTGGCAGTTACTGTACTACACAAAAGCAGAAACTCGACTTTGTGGCAGATTAAACTTAAACACCGTCAATTATGGGACTGGTTAAGTAGGCACTATTAGTTGAAATAAACAAGCATACGACGAAATGAAGGGAAAGGGGCATCACTAGTTGTTTTTCTAAGATTTTGATATGTAAAATTTATAATGACAATGTTTATAGATATATTTAAAGAACAGCAGTGATTAAATTACTTTTAAAAGATACTTGCATCTTAGAAAAGTAGTTAATATACCTTTCTACGGTTGAAACGTTAAGGCCGCCCTTTGTTGTACGTTTAATGCTTTATAATGTCTGGAAAACCCTGGTATACCTACAAATAAAGTATTATTTGTTTACCTATCTTTCTATTATGGAAATTACCTGCTTTCACATAAGCAAACATATATCTTGAATTGCTCTGATACCGTACTATAAAAATAATATAATCTTAATATTTAAATATGCATATTGAATTAAGTCTCTTGTACTATTCCACAATATTGTGGGACAGTACAAGTGACTGAATTAAATATGTGTAGCAAGGTGCACAAGTGCCGTCAACAGTATAAATAATTATATATGCACTTTAAACTGTGTGCTTTATTTTGTAATAATAAATAAAAGAAAAAAGTATTTTTATTAATGTTTATGTCGCATAATATGAAAATCCGGCAACTCTCGTCCCCCAAACTCTGCTTACTTAAACAATTTCGATGCATAAAGAGTAGCAATCACCTTATTCTGCTAGCTACAACTTATAGACTATTTGTGCATAGATGTTTGCAATCACGCTTCATCTCACATTGTGGTTTGAACTGTATTTGCAATGTCATAATATCTATAATACATTAACATAATTGTGTTGCCTAGATACTGAGTGGTATAGGCAAGACAAGAGAAAACCTTAAAGAACGAAGCGCGTGTAAAACAATAAGATAACATAACTGTGTTACAGTAAATAGTTTTTTTTCTTTTAACAGCAACCGAAATTACTAGTATTCCCATTAAACCCTCCCGCTAAGCTAAATTGTTTGTGTTAGGAGTGGGTTCACGTCGGTAGTATACTGGTCAGGATTTAAACCTACGACCTCTTGATCGCAAGTCCAACGCCTAAACCCTTATATCCATTTACCTTTTAATTCTATTAAGTTAATTTGGAAGCGCTACTCGCTACTGTTATAATTCTTCTAAAACAACACACTACATTTTAACAAGAAACGTTATATACTGATTTTAAACATTAGTTTAAATTTTAGAAATTATGTATGTTATTATATACTATTGATAGATATATTTAGTAGTTTATATTACAATTTTGAAGTACGTAGGTCTGTGTGTACATGTAGGGCAGGCGTCGAGTATTTTTTATAGTTAGGATGATCACTGGGTTTTTAGCAAGCTTACATTGCGCAAATTGGCTTAAAATTAAGTTTGTCTTTATGCAAATTTAATTATGTAAGTCTCAAGTGCCATTTTGACAGGACATATCTATACTAATATTATAAAGCTGAAGAGTTTAGTTTGTTTGTTTGAACGCGCTAATCTCAGGAACTACTGGTCCCATTTTAAAAACATTATTTCAGTGTTAGATAGCCCATTTATCGAGGCTATAGGCTATATATCATCACGCTAAGACCAATAGGAGCGGAGCACCAATGAAGAATGTTTCAAAAACGGAGAAAATTTATTACTATTCAGAGACGCAGACGAAGTTGCGCGGGTCAGCTAGTCGCTAAATACATTTGGTTGTATATCCGTCCAGGTAGTGACGGATTAAGAATACGGAATGTCACTACCCCAATTCATCCCGTGCGTGTTGTATGGGCGCAAAACAACGCCGGACACCTGCACTGCAAAAAAGAAGGAAAACTTGACACAAACCCTATACTAACCCGTCTGGCCAGACCAAAACCTCCTTTCTAAGGAGAGGCCTATGTCCAGCAGAGGACTATTAAAGGCTGTTGATGTTGATGTGACTCCTGCCCTTAGCAGTACCTACTAATAGGATGGAATAAAATCACAATCACATGTGATAAATCGTACGATTTATAAATCTTATTATCACACCTGTGACTAATTTAAAAAACACGTATATTTATTATTACGCTAGCGCCAGACTAAAAAAAGGTCGCAATCTTTGATAAAATGAATTTTGGTTGCTTTTGATGTCATTTATCTTTGTCTAGGACCAAACCAAAATCATACTGAAATCATTTGACTTAAATCAATCTTTTCATCATATGATTATGATTATGTCTAGTACTAATAGTACATGTGTTCTAACAGTTCTGACAGTATGTTAGAAAGACATGTTACTTTTTCTTTAGAAAAAAACTGTTATGCTGTTCTAAAACAGTAGAAAACTTTTGTCACATGACTATTTATAATAACTGCTATCTAATAATTTAACTGATACTTTATAACCTCATTTCACACAGACAGGCGTTAAATATCTCAATATAATTAATCATTGAACAATAAAACAGTATCCGACCCATGTATAAAATTGACCACTTTATTAGAGCTACCATCCTCCCGCATTCACTACTTTGTTGTCCTACAGAGGAGGTTAGAATTGTAAATTGACAGTTCTGTTTATACTGGTATGTACTACGTAGTGCATTTATATGTATAAATAGTCTGGCACGTGGTTAGTATGTACATCTAACTCCTTGGCAGTTGCAGTACTGACACTAACACATGCATCCATAGCTCTTTTATCAAATGATGTAAGGCCGTCATTCCCTTCAATCAAAATTGTGTTTTAAATTGTAGGGACTAGAGTTTATTGTTGAGTGTGTTTATTTTGACATATTGTGGATGTGAGTGTAGTTTGATAAAAACAGATATAGTTCCATGTTACGTAGGAGATTTAAATATGCGTTGGCGCCACATTGTTGCCGATTTGTCGAGTATTAGTCTCAGTTGTTTCGATTTTCGATCCTAAGCTTCCTTATTTTGAAAATAACGTTTCGAAGTTATTTACAGTTCAGTAATGGAATACATCTGGATGTTAATAATTTCCATCTGATAGGAAATCTAACAAAATTACTTCGACGTAGGTATGTTTGTCCTGTATAAATGCTGCTTTTGGTACAATCACGTGCTTGAGTCGTAATTTTGCTGTCCAAAATTTTCATGACTTTCCGAAATTTATTCGAAGTTGGCGCAAAGTGTAAGTACTATTCTAAAGAGTTATAATTGGTTTTCTGTATTGCTGGCAATCTTAAGCCAGAGAAAAATGAACTCTGGTAATGGATTATTGATACCATATGTCCCTGTTGCTGAAACGGGACTGATAAAATGATAAAAGAGAAGTCGTCTATGATTCCAAAGACCACATGGACAAGGACATCCACTGGTTATAGAACTCATTAGTATTAACTCTATGTGCTTATTAACTCTACACCTTAGTCTAGAGTTAATAAGCATATCACAAGGATTATTTTACTGTTAAATTAAAAACGTGTACACATACTTTTTTGTAAGATAATTGTTGTTGTATGTGGCTTATAATATATAAATATTATATATATATTTATATATATTGATTGAGTAGTTTAAGTGGTCACCACGCCGCTTTCTAGTACACTGAGTGTTGTGGGTTCGATCCCCACATGGGACGACACTTTGTGTGATCCACAAATTGTCGTTCTGAGTCTGGGTGTTTTTTGTGTCCGTTTCATGTATGTTACTAAAGTCCCACGCCACACAAGATATAATCCTAGTGTAGGTATTGTCTTTTAAAAGAATAAAAAATAATAATAGCTGCCAGACCTTAGACAATACACCTCCACCTTCATCCAGTGGCTCTGTTCACCATAAATCATCACCAAAAACTTCACTCTTCGCAAGAGTAATATTATTATGAAGAGATGAAGGTATCCCAATAGACCAGAAATATATCTTTTATTATATCAGAATCAGAATTTGAAACATTTCCTAAAGCCTAGTGTTTTATACTTGGTTTCATTTTTCTTTGTATAAACGAAATGTCTGTGCCAATGCAAATATTCTATACCACAACAAGTGTTAAACTGTAAGTAACCCCTTACACAAGTGACACAAAATATGTATAGTTCACAGCTGGACATAGGCATCTCCTTAGAAAGAAGGTTTTAACCTACTATAAAAATCTGGCTAGACGGGTTGGTACAGGGTTGGTTTCAAATTTTTCTTCTCTTTGCAGTGCTGTTTTGATACGTACTTTGCTCTCTTAGTAGGCTCTTACGACACCCACGGGATAGTGAAACTCTGTATTCTTAATCCGTCAACACACGGTTTTTTTTAAAGAGTTTTATATTCAATATCAAAGTAATTAGTATTGTATCCACGTGTTAGAAGCCTACTGAGACTGTGTGCGTGCCGGTCAAGGTGAGCGTTCAACAAGTTCACAACTTAACTCATTAGCTGTTCGACTCGTGTTGTTACGCGTGTAATCACACTTATTTGAAACTGCATTTTCTTGTAGTAAGAAGCTATTGCGTATTTTCGCTTCTCCAAAAAACGCCGATTCTAGTCTTTCAAAATTATCTAATTAAAATGCAACAAACATCCATTGAGAAAAAATATTGATTTAAGTATTCGACCTTAAAAAAATACCATCCAATTACGCTGCTTAACCGCTGATTTGTTTTTATGGATTTAAATGGTCGTTCCTGTTCAATAGGTAATGTATCACAACACGATCAAATTTACAATGTTTACATACAAATGGTTTTTTGTTAATGACAGAGTAATGTGGCAGCTTAAATCAGAGTACATCAACTGCCCAAAAATTTCGCCAAATCAAAAGGGCTGTAAATCAAAAGCGGTTATGTTAACCTAAAGTGCTGACTCACTAAAAGATCGGTAGGTGGGTATCTATGGTGGTTATCAAATATCTTTGCACATTAACTTTAGTAAAAGAAATTTAATGAAACTATACCGTTCGGTGTATTTTTTTTTGACAACATAAATAAAAGTCTTCAGGTAGTCCTAAGTAATCAACCTATTTCTACATTTTTTTTAAAAGATAGATCATTTGTGTATGTAAATTTCGTTAGTGAAAGACAGGTTGGATATCCAGTATGTCAATAAGTATCTATCTAAAAATGTATGTGTGTGTGTGTGTGAATATAAGATTTTTCTTGATAAATTCACAAATATAAAGATACACACTCTCTTTTCCACTTCCGAACTATAGAATTACACTAGTATCATTCTTCACTAAAATATTAATGGACAAAGATTTATTCTGATTTGAAACATGCGCGTACATTATTATCCGATACAAGGATTAAACTTGCAACATTCGGCACATTGCCGAATTGATAATTATTTAAAACGGCGGCACATTTAGATTCAACCAAACGAACAAGTAACCTTTACAACTGTACTTGACAATGGACGTTAATAGATTTGATAAGTTATTCTAAACGGGATATTTAGCATGTTTATTTTCGGTAATAATCTTCCGATATTTCGGCACTGTTGCAAAAGCGGATAAACTGGTTATTTAATGAATAATAGATTGAATGTTTACTTTGACTTCTGTCATTGATAGTTCTTAAGTGTGCAGTGTTAATTTTTTGTTTATCCAGTCCGTTATCTGTTGCAATGTTCACGGACACAATAGAATCGTTTTAATAGTTCAAAGAATGAAAAACAAAAGACTGAATACGAAAGCTGTTCGTTATACTTAAATGTGTGTGAGTGAACTTTGATTGTCGGTCATAAATTTATTGGACAGATCTGATTTTATGTCTCATTCGCCTGTGGATTAAAATTAATATATCACTTCTTATTAATTTTCGGAGCAATAACTCTTTTTATTAAATTGCATGCAATAAAAAGACAAGGAATATCATATTTACAAAACGATTAGCATAAAAGGATTGAACTTTTTACTATAATTTAATAAAACCGTAATTATACTTCTGACATTTAAACTTGTAGAGAAGTTATGGTGCACTATTAGTGTATAGAAGTATTAGTTTAAAGGTTTTTAAGAAGTGGTGCATTGGTTTTTAAACATGACGATTAAAGCTAGAGAAGCAAAGTTAACATAATTACATTATGTATTTTAGTGTTTAAACGTTTGATATTGAAAGCTTTAATAAACATACATTAAATATTCTATATGTGCGTTTTTTTTATAAAATCATTGTACTACATAAAAGTTCAAAAGTAACAGATAGTAGTGGAATATAGGTATCAATTTGGTTTAAACTATATTTTGAAAGTCATAATTAATGCCTAGAAAGAAAGATATAATTACTCAAAACTTTGACACAGTACAAAAATAGTTCTTGAAAACAGCAACCAACGGCATAACGTGCTCTCTGAGGCACGGATGACTCCCAACCCATTCATAGACTGACCTGGGTAGGATTGCTTAACATTGCAATGTGCTAACCTACTCGGTAACCACTTAGCCACGAGCTGTAGTAGCTTGTAGTGAATAACAAATTTGTATTGAAATGATAAATTGTACGTTTCGCACACTAATGCGTTAAATTACAGCGATTGAGCGTTCTTTATTTATCTACGAGCCTTATCGTTGCGAGACTTCACGTCATTTGAAAAACACACTATAAATAAATATTAATATCATTTTGAGTATAGAATATTATCTCGCGCGATTGTTCTTTATTTATCTTAGAGTTTTTATTGCATGGCGACTGATGCTGGATGAAAATGTACTGGAAAACTAACCGAATGTTAATTTTACAGCCCACTGGGTGGTCCACCAGTGGCGGTTGTACGAGCGGTCGCTGTGCTCGCTGCTGGAGCTCCAGGCGCGTAAAGGTTCCTCGTACTCGATGTGCTGCTCGCCGCGTTACATGCTGGCGTCAGAGTACGCGCCTCACCTGCTCCCGCTGCCGCTCACGACCCGCGCGTCGCCGCCGCCAGCGCACTTGTAGCGATGCGATCTTGCGCCGTCCCAGGTATATTACTTTAATACCTCTTTTATTTAATATCCAGATCCAGATATTAGATTCCAGCAATAATAAACCCTCATTGCCATACGCCTTTAAAGTACATCCGGATGGTACTGGTATCGTAAGAAAATCGTCGAAGTCTATTTTCCTTAAGTATGATCCCTGCTGACATCCCGTTGTAAGCGCTTTCAGCTCAGATTTATGTTCTTATCTAAACCATCCTCCGACTTTCAACGAAAGATTATCTACTTTATCTGTATTAATTGATTATATGATGATATATATACATAAAACGCGCGATTTTTTTTCGCAATATTTTGTGACACATGGGATCTATATATCGCGCAAAAAAAAACTCTGATTTCATGCAAATTGATGGCGAAATATTGATTGTAAATAAAATAAACAAACTTTTATTTAGGACTCACCAAGACAAAACAAATGAGCCCAAACTCGATGGGTTTATCTTGTTTAGTTAAGAAGTTGCTATGGCCGGCTTCGAGCTCCATCATTAGAACAGCTAAATGGTACATTACTTTTGTATTGTCACTGAATATATGTACATATGTACACTAAATTTGAGCCCATCAGACATCAGAAAGTTATTCTAATTCAATTTCCACATGGGCCTCTTTTTAGAAAGGAGGTTTTGGCCTGCTTTACCACACTGGCCAGACAGGTTGGTATAGGGTTTGTTTCAAATTTCCCTTCTCTTTGCAGTGCTTTTCTGCGTAGTTTGCTCCCTTAGCCTCTTACAACAGTCACGGGACGAATAGTGGTGGTGACACTCCGTATTCTTAATCCGTAACCACACGGTGCACATAAAAACAATACAATTTAAGTAAAAGCTTGTAAAATTTTAAAATAAATGACACGCGTTGGACTGTTGAACGTGAAATTAAGAACAGATAGTATCCTCTAAGTGATTATTTGATATTCGTAAATGATTTTCATAATGTTCAATTATGTTATCATAAAATTAATTATTGCTTTCTAAAATCTATACACTATTTAATTTTTTTACAATGTAACACCCAAAACACATTTGACGATTTTTTATTTAACCAGTTGAGACTTGAATATAGGCGTGTAATGAACGAACTAAATGAATTACAGAATTCATTTAGTTCATTCCTAATTGAATTAGATTACCAAATAAGCACAAAACATATCAAAAAACAACAGCCTTGTGCTCTGTGTCATGTCATCATGTGCGATCATTGTCTCTCTGAAATCTATACGATTCCTAAGAACTTAGTCCAATAAACATATCAAACAACAATATATTATCGATTCCGAAATATCCTGTTAATGCATATCTCTAAAAATATTAGTGATCCTACTCATTTCCGCTCTTAATCGGTCTGTGCATCGGTTTGGCTTGTCAATGATAAAGAAAATACCAGCATTTAACAAGTCTTCTTATACAAACTTTGTTATAACGTCAATCTTTTGTATATACTCGTACAAACACAGTGTAAACGTCTCCTAAATAGATATTGCCTGACAAACGATTCCAACATTAATACACATAAACTTATGCCAACCTAAACAGGACAGTTTCGTGAGCTCGTTAAGGAAACAAGCTCGTCACTATTTACACAACATTTAATATCGCTCACCTTCCTTAAACCTCCCTTTAAAACGTGTTAACTGGCTAACTATATTCTTGTAGACTAAGCTTAAGTGCCCATCAGCAGAGAACGCCGTGAATAGGCCGTAAAGCGCGCTGTCAAATGTAAAATAAACGCGCTGTCCACTGTCCAACCGTTATTAGCTATAAAGTAGTCAAACAATGGCTCACAGTGGGCAATAAACTTGTTATGTCACTCACAGAAATAAATATGATGTTAGAAAATGTCTTATTAACTTATAAAGCCGTTTTTAGTTCGGCTAGGTTTATAGTTGATGATAACTGTGAATCATTTAGTATGGTTACACGGGCCACGGTTTTGCTAAACTACTTGACACTAAAAATAAATTGATTTTGTATAAAATTCAAAATAATAATGACGTGATTGGTAAGGTTTTCCGAATTGACCTTTACCAGGACGGTAAAGGTCGCCGGGAGCTGTTGGATGGGGGCAGCACAGGACTGGTTGTTGTAGCGAACCTTAGGGGCCCTATGTCCAGCAGTAGACATGCATGCTGTTCTAGATAAAGAAGACCATTCTGAAGCATGAATCTTTGCCCCAGTGGTTGCTAGGTACTTTATCTATATAATCATGAGACAAAATATGTTGTCTTCATTACTTCATAAAACAAAAACACCTTAATCTTGAAAAACGAGTTGATTTATGAAATTATCGATTCCATAGGCCTTAACACTTAAGCCACCTGAAACTTTTTTATAGTTTATGGGCTACCATTAACCTACATGGAATAGAAAAAACGTAGATTAAGGTTTACTTATTAGATTCTTAATTTGTATCTCTCAATACAAGTAAATTGTATTCTTTTTGACAAATAAATATCTTAAATCAGAAGATACGTCACTATGCAAAATTTACCCTAATAGGCTAGTGAACAAGTTCAAAAACGTGTTAATTCTTGATTAAGCTCCTAAAAATATGAGCGAAGGCTCATTCGATTCGAAATGACGTCTAGAAAAATGTATCGAAAGTATGCATTACCACATAAACATTGCAATTGTTATTAAGCATTTTGTGTTTTGTTAATAACTCACAATTGATTAACATTTATGGTATCCCTAAAGAAATTTCCAAGAAAAAAGTTCTGAATCTCGGAACTCTATCTCCCTTATTTATAATTTTAATTCAGTGCCGAAATAAAATAAAAATAAACAAAACAAGTGTGCATTTTGATAAAGATCATGTGAACGACAAACAAAACTCGTGTTCATACTTAGCAGCGCGACAAAATTGTTGCGAACGCCATTGTTGACATATTTATTTTTCTATACTTTTGTTAAAATTAATTCCTTTTTTGTGCCACACGTAACTTAAATACTAATTTTGTGAAGTGAGCGATAAAATAAACATTTAAAAAAGGTAACTTCAACATATTGTTTGCGACAAAAGCTTCCTAGCTACTCATGTATATACCTAAGTTCACAACGCTTGCATCGCATACCCGGTAATAAAACTACCGGTACGATATACCTATCTCGCGTTTTCACGCTCGTAAACTCACTGTGGAAAGGGACAGCAAACTTTTATAGCACTCCGTCGCTTTTCGCAACAAAAACTTTTATTGCCGGCCACTCGTAAATTACGCAGTCTAACGTCGGGTCGAGAAAATTTCTAAAAGAATCGATTTTAAACTAGGGTTTTAAGGCAAATAACCAAATAAGGTTAAATTAAAAATAATTAGGATTTTTAATGCCTCTAAGAACTTAGCTGCCATATCAGCTCATCACAATTATTGTTAATCCGATGACCTACCACAAGCAGACCCATTTAAAAATGGAACACGGGTACGATACGGTAGTAAAAAGAGCATGTTAGTGACGCACCACCCGCAGTATTTACCTTGTCGATAAAAATGAGTTTAAGTATTAGAGTTTACTTAAATATAATTTAATTATATAAGAAGACGATCATTCTAAGCAGAAAGCGATAATTTAAACGCCATGTTTGTCAAAATTTTAGTACAATGGCTATATTTAGTAAAAACAAATGAGTGTTTTGCTACGCTCACATTGTTTAGCTTAGTTGACAAAGTATTGACTCTTATGGCGTTAAAAATGAAATAGAACAATGCTTTATTCTAAAACTTTATTAAGATATTGGATATATAATTCATTTTTACCAATCATTAGGGGTGAATTAAAATATGAATTTTAAGAATTTGTACCCTTACTTTTTGACAGTTTTATTACAAAATGGTCATGCTGCATTAAATAGGACAATCGAGTTAACAAAAACATCGACATATTGACACAGTAGCAAATTGCATCCCTTTTCGATTGACGCGTCGTCGTCTGCCGATCGTAAAACTTTTCGCGCGTAAACGTCACCGTTGACATTGGCTAGCAGATGCAGCGCTGCGCAGCTTTCCTTTGTGCCGTAGCCGTCTAGTAACAATATTGATTTACAGCTTACTGGTATATTTTACCTAAAATTTCAATATGCGTGTTTCTTGGTTCGGGTCAACGACCTTCCGCTGTTCGATGTTAGAAAAATGTTTTGATTTATTTGTTCTGTGTTTGCTTCTATTCAATTTATTCTATACTACAATATCACAAATAAAAAAGCCGATAGATAAATTTAACAAAATATGCCTTCTAATACAATTATATTCAATAAATGTTTGGTTAATTTATCATTGACCACAGTAAGTGAATTTAGAGGAAAGGGCACAAGAGTTATGAGTTATGACACATGAGTCATTTTGTCAAACGTAACGAGTTGGCACTACACAGGAATATAATAAAATGGTCGTCAAATATTTCAACAAATGCTCTGAACTCTGAACATTCCTGTATGTAGCTATCATAAAATCTAGACAGACATTCATCCCGGTCTCGTCTCTCGTCGTAAACCGTACCTAAAATAAGCCATAAAATATTGTCTCAGTATTTAAATTTATCTATATTACTGACAATTAAATTGGAACGTCTAGTAGGCTATGAGCCTTCGGGACACTAACACAATACTTATATGTATAAGGCGGTCTACAGTTGGGACCAAATACGGTACAGTAAATAAAAATATTTATCAGGTTGTATATAGGTATTGTTGTAAAAATGTAATTAAAGTTTAAATTGTATCCTTCCTGTCTTTTTTTTAAATCGGTATAATCTGCTTACACAACAAGTTTTCAATAGAGGAAACAAAACTGTGGTTTGCATCTTGTGCAATGGGACTTAATTACATATTAATGTATTTTACATAAGATGCGCATATTACATTTTAGTTTGAGAATGTAATTATTTGTGTGCTAAGTGTAAATATATTGTGAACGTTCGCATTATTGCCAATTGTAATGAAATAAGTCGTAACTGTCATATCTTGCATGTT